AACAACTCGTCAGGGTTGATTTTAGGAACGACTACTGCCGGAAGTGGCACTTGCTTGGATAAAAATAGTGCTGAGTGCCAGGCTAAGAGTTACCTTTGTACAAATGCCGCTTACAAACAGTTAATGACTGAGAAATGTCCTGCAACTTGCGGATTTTGCGGTCAGTCAGGTGGATCAGGTAATGCAGGAGTGACAACAGGAGCCCCGTCAGGTGGAGAAACTGGAACTTCTGCATCTGGGTCTTCTTCGTGTACTGATGTTAGTTCTGCCGAGTGTCAGCAAAAGAAAAACCTTTGTACAAATACGTTATACAGAAGGCTAATGGAAGAGAAATGTCCAGCAACTTGCGGGTTCTGTAACAGTGACGGAGGAGCTGCAGCGAAAACAACAACTGCAGCGGCAGCTGTGACAACGACGGCTTCATCAGGTGATGGGCATGTCGTGTAGATTTGAGAATTGTTCATTTTTATCGCCGTTATGTTTTTCTTTTTATAGGGTCAGGTAACGAGTGCGTAGATAAATCGTCTAGCGAATGTGAAAAGAAGAAGAGGCTTTGTACTAATGCGCTGTACAAGGAGTTGATGATGGAAAAATGCGCAGCAACATGCGGTTTCTGCTGAACGGTTTTCTCACCATTAGAAGTTCCGTTTTTGTTGGGACAGGTGGAGAAACGATTGCTTGAGGATAATGTGTAGTTCAAATTATTTTTAAATTGATCAAAAGTAAATAACAAAGACATTCTAAAAACATCTATGAGTGCTACCGAATGATCACCAAGATTACTTCCAAAAACGGACAATTCGTCTTTGCATCAAAACCTCCAGGCCGTGTCACAGCTAGAGCTGTGAAATCTGACAGAAACGAGCGTCATTTATTTTTAACTATAAAATTATCAAAATGCAAGGCTGAGACTGCTTCAGAGGGTTATACAGTTATATAGCAAATGGTGAAACTAATTATAAGAAGACAGGACGTTGGCTTCAAATAACAGAGTTTCGCACGTAAAGTTAGGTGGATTTAGAGTAGAACTGTGAAGAATTTTGCTGTTTACGGCTGGGTGTAGTTTGCTGCTTCAGAGGTCAGGTCTTTTATATTTTTTGATGCCTACAGTGTTTTGTAGTTTTAAGAAGTAGAGGACAGACTTTGAAAGGTAAATTCAGCTTTTACAAGCCATCTTAAACAAAGTTATAATGCTCCAATTAGAGATGGAGCCGTCAAATTTGTGTTGGTGGGAGTGGAATTAGGTTTCTTAGCAATATGTTGGCGGGACTTGAAACATGATTGTGCAGGGACAAGGAATGGCAAACAAACCAGATGTTGGGTTCAAAAATTAAAAAAATTTGTTCTGCATATTTCAGAGTTCAGCGTTGATGATGTAAACTGTAAAATTCTAACGATTTAGGGTTTTTACTAATTCAGAGAGTGAGGTAAACACATGTAAATTGAAGTTAAGGAAGGATGAAAAAGCAGGAATGATGGTTATGAGA